CCTCTCAGTAGGGTTGTTTACAGCACACGCGATTTCCGGTTAGCTTCTTAGCTTAGCCTCTTTCACACCGACAACACACACATGCTTCAGCAGAGGCCACGCCTCCTGCAAGAAATTATTCTCTATGCAGCAAGTTCAGACCCTTGTATGAAGCAAAGTGCAGGACAGGGTCTGGTTTTAACCAGGCTAGATCAGTGTGTGTGTTTTGACTGAATTTATAAACCTGTCCACACCAGACATCCTTCTTCCTAACTGTATTTTAGCTCGTATTATTTTATTAAATACCATACTAGCGTCACAATGTAAACGACACATTAAAAAAATACAGTTGATAAAATGTGATGCAACATCTGAGAAGCTTAGATTTTTTAAAAATCTTTTACTTCAAATTTGACAGATGTAAGAAGAAGCTTAGCTTTACATACCGAACATGTCGAAGTTTTTGAAACACCGTCTTAGTCTGCCGAAACATTGCCTGGTCAGCTGCTAAAATAATGCTTATGCTACAAAATAAACAAATGTTTTTCTTTAAATTTATTGTATGAAGAGCAGCGTCCCCGGCGTGTGTCCTCTCAAAACCTAGCTGACATTTTGAACACAGTTCYCTCGTGTCACGTGTTCTGCTGGTCGTAGATTTCCCAACAGTTTCAAACCACACTTTATCCCATCCSGCTARACTATAGATCTACTCATTTTTTTCCGCATGGTTAAGACGACCCAGAAGTGTTCTTCATTGTAATTGGTCGGTTTCGGAAGGACAAATTGTTGGATTGGCTAAGRCTCAGCACGTTGATAAGGTTACAAAACTGGAATTTTTAAGCTCAGTGGTGTTAAACTATTATAAAAATATTAAGATTTTTATTTTAAACTCTTAGACCAATTAAATTATTTAAATTTTAAATACATTAGAAGTAACAGAACTCTTCTGTAAAATGATGCAAATACACTGTAATTCCAAAAGGTGTCGCCACTCAAACATGTTATGTTTGCTAAACGAGTTGAGTTTATTTACTGTAATAAATAATGCAAATTAATTGTGCATTCATTATAATTATTTGGATAGTACAAGAAAGTGAAAACACTTTTGGCCACTGTGGACCAAAACACGAATCTAAAGGACAAACATCAAGATAAAAACATGAAATAGAAATACTAAAAATAGGTTATATTATGCAAACATAGATAATTAGAACATCTATGACAATTTATAAAAGGAAAATAAGTGTAAGCCCATGAAGGTGGCTGAGTATGTTTAAAACAGTGTAGTTTAAGATTTGATTCTAGTGGTAAATGCATAAATAAATGAATTACTTATTTCATCACTTAACAATTTGCATTAAGGAAACTGCATTTTAAAAACACATTGACAAAATTTCTAATTAGCTCTAATTTCTAATTATTTCTTTTATTAATGAATTACTTGTGTGTGTTGAAATATAGCTAATTGTATTTTAGACAGAGTTTGCAGGTTTATAACCAATATGAAATGTTTACCACAGTCAATARAATACATTTTGCACCTTAATGTGAATTATGCACAAGACTTCAAATGTTCACCTTGAGATATGTAATTCAAAATAAAAGTGCCTTAAACTCAAAATCTCCCATCGTACAATCATCTCCTTTAGATTTGTGCTCACTTTGTTTGAATAATGGTACAAAAATTGTTTACTTGCATGTTTTAGTAAAGGTTTTAGACAAAAAAAAACCAACAGAAAAACAGAGGTTTATGTTTATCTTGTTACACTACTGTGAGAAATTCTTTTGAAGTAATCATTCCAAGTATTTTTTAAATTATTTCTTACATTCAAAACATAATGGTACTTTAACTTTTTTCATTTAAAATGTAACACCTAGTAACACGTTACAAATTTAAATATGACCAGAACTCATTATGAAGAGTTGAGTAAATTTGAGTAACTGTTTTTCAACTTACCTATTCTTTAAAAGAAAATGTGTAATTTGCTCTATTTACTCAAATTGATTCAATGAAACATGCTTAGTTTTTTTTTTACCTTATATCATTCGAGAAAAATCAACACGAGACCAAGAAAAGTATGTTTTGTAATTGTAAATTTTGATATATTATTTGAACTGAAAGGCTTCCTGGTGTTTGTAGTTGTTCAGGTTCAGTAAAGTCTTCCCTTAACAGAGGAGACTGATTTGATAAAGAGCTCAATGCAATGCCGTTGTCCATCCATCCATCCATTCATTCATTCATTTTCTTCTGCCTATCCGGGGTCGGGTCGCGGGGGCAGCAGCTTCAGAAGGG